ACATTAATGTTAAATTAAAAATCACCAATAAAATTATGGTAAAAACTCTTTTCAAACTTTTATTTATCGGTAATTTAACAAATTAATTATTTCTGCTATTTTCTAATGTTGTTAAAGTTTTACATACTTTTTAATTAATTACATTTATTTCTATGAGGTGTTCAAACAAGTGCTTAAAGATATTATTGATATATAAATACTTTAAATTGCTTATAGAGCTTATCTCGAAAATTAGTTAAATGATTAAATAACATTTATAGATAATATTTTATATCTCTAGTTTATTTGTACACACAATTTAGTACTGTAGTTTATGTAATTAATTTATTAATACAAAAATTAATAAATGTAGCATTATATATTATGATGTTTACAATTTTAATTAACCAGGTAATTCTATTAATATTTGCTAATGTTGTTGAGAAAGATTTTTAAAGATGACAAACCTGCCAAATAAAATTATGAACATTTTTATTAAATTGTTTTGCAAATTCCTATTAATTATTGGGTAAAAACAACATTATTAATAAATTCTGGTCCTTTAATACAATTTCAACATGTGTAAGGTTTTGTTAATTATTTCAAAATAATTGAAATAACCCAGGTTGAAATTTTATAAAGTCACTGAATTTACAGTATAATAACAATTAATTACTGTTGATTGCCATTGAGATTGTACTCCATATGCTGTGAACCATTAATCCGGATCTCATTCAACATTTCCATCAAATACTGTAATTTTTCGTTAGATTCAGAAATAGATTGAAATTTTAATCGCAAATATCGGTGCAATAAATATATGTATATTCGCTGCTCAAACCTTATATTCAAACATAGTCATTTTTAATAACAATTCATGCATATATAAACATAATAATATAATACTGTATTGTACTAACTTAACAGTAATATCATGCTTTAAACCAGGTCTGTATGGATTAAAATGTGCAATTGCCTTTAGCTATAATTAAATAAAAGTTTTTAATTTTAACATTAATCTTAAAATACATATATAACTAAATATAATATAAAATATATTATATTATATATTATATATATTATATATATATTATATCTAAATACCAAGTCCATGATAACTCTATCCTTGTTGAAATCGGGCCATAATTTTGGACAATATTTATATAAGAAATTAATATTAGCTTTGTATGAATTTGTCTTATTACTTTCAAAAGTATTCAAATCAAGTAGAAATGAGATCTCATTATTCTGTAATTAAAAATAATTTTAATTTTGTAATACAAGTATACTAGCAATTAAATATCACTTACAATAAACAAGGTGTAATAACCTGTTTGAGCATCAATTAACGTTATACACCTGAGAAAATGTGTTTCAATATATCCATAGATATATAATAAATACTGATCATGATCGCAAATATTACCCGACAATCCGTTTATATAATTTGCAAATTTAGTATAATTTTCAAAATTTTGAGCGATTCTGTTGACCCAAACTTTATTCACTTCAACCATATCTGTGGCGTAAACCGTTTGCCGACTCAATGGTCTAATGAACACATTTGAAGCACTTATTAACTCCGATATTCTGTATATCTCGGACCCATTAAACTCTTTAAAACCTTCAGTCAAATTAAACACCGGAATCATAACTATTGTATTAAACTCGTTATTATTAATACATAGCATATTATTATCACAACTATTAATACAATTATTTAAATAACTGTTGTTTTGGTGATAGGTTTCAATTTCATTAATTTCTTGACTAATCATATCGGGACTAATCATATTCATAGTATTTGCAAACAATATGTCCAACTCTTTGAAACTATTTTCACTGTCTTTCACTGTATTTTCACTGTAGTTATGATTACAATGTATGGACTCTACTGTCGTGTTATCAGTGGTCGACGACACCACACAATGGTTTGATTGTACGACTCGTTTGCGTCGGTTTTTCTCAATTAATTGTTTAATCACTTGTTTTTGTGATTCACTTCTTATGTGTTTCTATACAATAATATAGTAAATAGTAAGTATTATAATTTAAAATAGTTTTAAGAAAAATATTTTTAAATGTTACCTTGTTCATGCCTACGGCGAGACACTTATCATAGCGACACTTCATGCATAATACTCGGGTCCAGACGTTTATATCGCACTTTCCATTTGATTTACATTTTAAGGGCTAATAAAATAAATTGAGTAAAATAATAAAAATTGAAACTTACTTTATGCTTAATAATGTATTTTTTGGGGATATTATATAATAAACTTATAAATACTTTGTTTTTAAGGGCATTCCGTCTGAAGAATGCTTTACACGATTCACAGCAAACGGCACCAAAATAGTGAGCTTGGTCATATAATTTTTTAAACATAAATATTATATGCAACATAAAATATTTTAAATAATAAAACTTACAATTAGCTTTATCACCGCAAACACGACAAATTTTTTTAGGTTTTATAATATTCATAATATTTAATATAACAAATATCTATACAGTATAACGATTATTATTTATTATGGAATTAGTATCCAGGTCAAATGGCATTAATAATAGCTACTTATATTTTTTAATTACAGAAATCTTTTAAATAAAATATTTAAATTACAGGTTTATTGTTTCATTTTACGAAACAAATGTTCAATTTTTTAGTTTAAACTGCACTGAACAGCGACTACTGGTGTTATTATCAGCACAATGTTGTAATGAATAGTTGTCAAGGTAATAATAGTTTCTATTTCGTGAAGCAACTGCACTAATAATGTATATAATTTCGCACAATTTCCTTTTGTGGTATATTTTTCATTTGTCAATAAAACCTGCAGTAATGTCATGAAACTATTAATTAATGCCTACTTATAAATTAAAATAACTAAATAATCAATGATGTCTTATTATTAGAATGCTGGAACTGTATAATTTAAATATCAATGATTAAACTAATTAGAATATTTTATTTATTTGAAAATAATTTTATTAATTATTTATTTAAATATATTATTCGAAAATCTATTTAAGTTTCTTTAACTATTGTTCCAGTTTTAAAGTATTGATAAATTAACATACAATTAACATGTATGTTTTTTGTAGGTATGTGTAGTATATAGCATGGTTGTAATACAATTTAGTATGAATATAGTTATTATATCGTCGATAAATACCGATACTATTAAATAACATAAACTATTTAATAGTATTAATGTCAGAATATTTAGGCATTGTAATCTAAAACTTAAGGTAAGTTTAGATTTTAAATTTCAAAAATAAAATAAAAACTATAAAGTTGTTAACAAAAAATAATCATGTATAATTAAAAGTTTACATTGCTAACTAAATAAGACATTAATTAGTTAAGTTTATTTTGCTTTAATTAATTATTTTTAATATAGTTAATGGTATTCATTGAGAGGTTATCCGAAATGAGGGTCAGATTCTGGGGTTGGAAACTGTTTATTATAAATAACTTCCGGTGCTATGATGTATGAAATTTTACTGTTTATTGGTTATGATTTTTAACAATTTCCCTAGATCATTCCTGGCTTGCATGTTTGTGAAATTGTTAGAAATTTAGTTCAAACTAATTTTAATGTGATTAAATAAATTTATTAATTGAATTCAAAACATTTATGATATTTATTTTAAAATTACTTACAAATTACTGTAGTTTAAAGTGTCCAAGATTTAAAATGGGATAGTTTACATAAAATATTAATATTAACATGTTTGGCTAACTAATCCACAAATGCAAACCTTATATGCGAACAGATAATGTTCATTCATCGGTAAAAATATTTCTGATAAACTTTAACAAATCTGAGACAATATTTGTCCAGGTCGTTCTGCTCGTAGGCCACACCACAATCACATGTCCTCAATTTAATTGCCCTTAAATGCATTAAATGTGTCAGGGCACTTAATTCACTGAATACATAATCACTTCTACCATATAATAGGTCTGAAACGACAAGAATTGGGGTTCCTGTAAATGTTGCCCCCATATGTTATATTTGTATATTTACTGTATATTCAACTGTATATTTATACTTAAAATGTGTAAAAACTTTCTACCTATACCTGTACATGTTACGTGACTTATAAAAATAATTAATTCAGACATAATTAATTAATTTAACTATTCCACAACTTACAGTTAAAATATATTTTTATATCTTAAATAGTTATTTTTATTTTATTATTTATAATTCATATGTTGCTACGTTTGATAGCTTGTTACAGTATTTTATACAAAGTGCTTGTTTATAAGTTTATAGATTTTTTTGTGATAATACATAGTATTGTATTGTAAACAGTGTAAATGTGTTTCTAAACATTAAATGTTTACTCAAATAACATTTATTAAAAACTACGAAAATCTAAATGTTATTAAATTCAAGGTTTTAAATAATCATTATTACTTTTACGAAGAACTGTGTTTGTGGTAATTACATTTAATTATACTAGGTAGGCAGGTTTTAATATTTATTATTTATAAAATGCACTGATATATTGCACAGGGATATATTATTATAAAAAAAAAATATTTTATTAAAATGTCCCAAACATTTGTGATCAGTGCAACTTTTATACATTTGCACATCAAAAATGCACTTTAAAAGTGCTTTGAGTTGAACAAACATACAGTTAAACCTGTTATTTATGCTAAATTAGCCTTGATATTATGTGAGCACAATTATTGTATTTTACGATTGAATGTTAACTGATTATTAGCAAATTAAATTGAATATTATTATATATGATGTCACTATGCAATAAATCAAGTTCTAAATATACTGTATATCCATAAACTTATAATTAACAAAGAGACTTAAAATGAAACTAAATAGACTCAGGCTACATTGTGGATATTTTGCACTTTAAATACATTAAGGCACAGGTTATGATAAATTAAGATAACAAATGTCTTGAGAAACTTTGATAAGCATATTGATCATATGATTACTTATAAATAGTGTTGAACACTCAATGAACGGTTTATACGACAATATTTGAAACACAGCATATTATTGTTTACTATATAAGGTTCTTGCTAAATTAATTAGTAATTTATTTATTAATAAAAAAAGTAAACAAAAATGGAAAATACAATTCCTGTTGAGGAGAGGCAACGGTTGTATGAATTGTGCAAAACTTATTTAAGCGGCAAATGGTCTGAAGTTACGGCAAATGAGTTGACTATAAAACCAGTTACGTATGTATTGACATAAAAATTATTGTTAGTATAAATCAATTTTTAATAAATAATTATTTTCATTAGCGATGGATTTGTGAATAAATTATACTATTGCGGTCTACCCGACCACATGGACACCAAATACAACAAAGTAGTGGTCAGGGATGTGGACTACGAGCAGTTTAAGGATTTTTACAATCAAACACATGTGATCGCAATGAGTGTGATTTTGTCGCAAATCAATATAAGTCCCAAACTATTAGCTGTATTTCCAAACGGAACTATCAATGAATTCATTGAGGTTTGTGTTTATTATACTAATAATTTATAACTATTTTAATTATATACGTAAACCCAGTGCCGCTATTTCAACGCTACCGATGATGTAAACCCCAAAACCGTGGGACTGTTAGCCCGAAAACTAGCAAAGTTTCACTCACTTGATATGCCTATTCCTAAGACTACTAAGAGTATGACTGAACTGTTTAAAGATTTTTTCACCGAAGAACTAAAAACATCTGTTAATGAGGGAATGGTATTCAAACAGATCCATGAATACAATTTACAGACATTCAAAGACTTGACTCTCACGGATGAGTTGTCATGGCTCGCAAATACAGTACAGGAGCTCAAGAGTCCGGTAGTCTTTTCGCACAATGACTTTAACCGTAGAAACACTTTAGTCCGCGATTCAAATGTTAACAATAATAAGGAAATGGAGATCTTTCTCATCGACTTTGATTGGACTAACTATAGCTATAGGGGCGCAGACTTTGGACAATATTTTTGCAGTTGGGGTCAAAAGGAGACTGACTTCGGGTCCGGAGATTTCCCGACTGACCCGCAAATGGCTCTCTTTATTGACGCATATATCGAGGAAATGATTGAAATGAATGGCAATTCATATGCAAAACTTGAAATCAATTCACGCGAAAGGATTACAAAAGAAGCGAAATTGTTTGCATTAATGGCTTTCATGAAGGATGTTATGTACTGTATTTGGCAAACAACACTCATCGGGGTCACCGACTTAATGGTAAACAAAATAATAAATGATTGATCCTATTTTATTTGTACTTTTAATAGTCCTTATAATAGAAATAGTTTTATGTATTAACACAAAACTGTATCATAGTTACCTAATTTGCGGAATAGGTATCAAATGATCTTGATTAATATAAATATTTATTAATTGCTTTTGTCTTTTACAGCCCAAAGCGGAAGTCCGATTTAATTGCTACCGGGTGCTCAAGAAACGCATACTTCATGAATATCCGGATTTACAATAAACATTTTACTTTGCAATCTTTTTATTGATAAATACTGTACTAGTAATAAAATATTTGTATTGATTCTTAATTTGAACATGTCCAATAAATTTCAGGACTAAATTCAAAGAATATTTTAATTTTGTTATCTAAACATTTGTAAACTACATAAAATTTTATGCAAATTATGCGTTAATATATTGATACAATATGAATGCAAACAACTTAGTAAGTATTTTGGTATAATATTACGTGTTTAGTATATAATATAGTCTATGTGTTTATGGATTTTTATCAAGGTTTCACTATTAATTAATATTAATTCTCTAAACAATAAAGTGGTCATAAATATAATAAAACTAAACCTAAAATGTACAATCGTAAGGAATGTCCTAAAATCATAGAATATTTCTGAGATTTATATTTTTAGTGCAAACGTCCTCCTGATAAGTGAAACAGTTAAACCTGTTTCAAATGACCTTGGTATTAAGAAAGTTATATAACTATAAATGTAACCTGTAGAATTTAGCATTTATTTTGGAAATTAAATTTAAATATATTTTGATGAAACAAATATTAATATTTACTGACCACTTGCAGTGATTATATAATATTAAAAAGGGTAATAATTATATAATGAAAATGACATTAAAATATCAGTACTTTGATTATCAACAATAAAATACAATTAAGTTTTCATCAGATATTTATGTTTTAGTACATTTTATTTATCAAAAGTGTAAAACAATTAATATGTACTTGTTCACGAGTTTCTTATAAATAGTTTACGCATTTAATAAATCCTCACATGTTTGTGCTAAACGAAAATATTTGTATTTCAAATTCATAATTTAAAAAAGTTTATAAAATAAACAATTAATATGTACTTGTTCACGAGTTTCTTATAAATAGTTTACGCATTTAATAAATCCTCACATGTTTGTGCTAAACGAAAATATTTGTATTTCAAATTCATAATTTAAAAAAGTTTATAAAATATCATATTTTGATAAATATTTGGAAAAATGGAAAATACATTTCCTGTGGAAGAGAGGCAACGGTTGTATGAATTGTGCAAAACTTACTTAAGCGGCAAATGGACTGAAATCACGGCCAATGATATGGTTATAAAGCCACTCAGGTTTGTAATATAAATTAATTTCTTTATAAGAAATACAAATAATTTTTACTTTAGCGATGGGTTTGTGAATAAATTAATCCTCTGCTGTCTCCCCGATCACATGGACACCAAATATAACAAAGTGGTAGTCAGGGATGTGGACTACGAAGCGTTTAAAGTGTTTTACACACAATCAGATGTGATCACAATCAGCGCCATTATGTCGCAAATCAATATTAGTCCCAAACTTTTAGGTGTATATCCCACGGGAACTAAAACATTGGGTTACCTGTTATCACAATAATGTAGAAATATTTCATTATGGATTGCATTTATGTCGAGAAATAAGGCTTTCGTTTTATAATTAATAATGTATTAAAATTTAATAATTAAATCATTGTAATTTATACTAATTTTTAAATTAATGGGTAATTATTAAAAAGTTGTGAAACATGTGTCAAACATATAGTAAGGATTCATTTGATAGATTTGGTGATGATTTATGTCAACATATATTGAGTTATCAAACGATTGACCAAAAAGTAAAGACTGAATGTGTGAGCAAACAGTGGCAGAGATTCATATACTGCTCACAAACGGAGTTATTGGTCGATGAATTAGTAAAGTACCACAATATTAAACAAAATGGATTTGAATTCATATTAAATAAATGCAAAAACTTGAGCAAGATCGTTTACAAAGGAAGTTCTTCTAAGTTGAAGCAAGATAAGTCTGTGTTTGACTCAATTGTCGAGCACTGCAATCAATTAACCCATATTTGTATAGATGTCCGGACAAATACAAGTATTGAGTCAATTGACATATTCTTTGAGAAGTTTGGCAAACAATTGAAAATAATTTGCTTTTATATTCCCCACACAAACAATATGATTAGACAGTGTGTTGACAATAATCTAAAGTGTTGTCCAAATTTAACACAAATACAGATCCAATGCTATTATCGCTATACTGATGATAATTCACTACAAGTATTACAGGACATTGTATTTCATAAGCTACAGAAAGTTTATATCAAATTCCACGATAAAGTTGTCAATAGTTTTAACACATTTGTTGAAAACTATAAAAAGTCAATGAAATCACTTGAGATTGATATCAATACTTGCGATGAGAAGTCCATCGCAATAGTGATGACAGGTTTGTCACAAATGGAGGCATTAATTGAGCTAAAGATACGGTGGATTAGCTGTTTGGGTTCACCTCCAGAAGATTCTGATTATTTACTGTTTAATCAAATGAAACAAATTGGTATTAATTGCCGTAAACTCAAGAGTTTCTCAATTAATAGCTCTAATATGGATTCCGATGAATGCTATGAATATGTGATGCAAACAATTAACGACAACTTCACACAAATAAAGCGATTGAGAATTAGTGGTAATCTCTACGGACAGGCAGAGGAAGAGGATGATAACCACAATATGATTAATGAGACCTTAAGAAGTAAATTATTGGATAAATGCAAACGATTAACACATTTCACGTTTACTATTGACTGGTATATGAATGACTCGTTTTTCGATAACATTGGCCAACATTTACCAAAACTCCAATACTTGTCGTTTGAAAACTACGATACAAGTGATGAGGTATTGAATGAGTTGTCAAAACTGACACATTTAAGGGCAATCAAAGTACGCACGTGGGACACGGGTATCGACAATGAACAAGACTACCTGGGCGAAAATTGTCCTAAATTTGTTGATGCCTACCACAAATATTTCTGTACCGATTAATAGAATCAATATTATTTTTATTACAAATATTGTCATTTAAAACACATGAAAATACTACTATTGTATATTCAGTTGCTAAAAACAGTTATTTTTGAGATAATATTTTTGATGTGATTTCTATGATACCGTAACATTGGATTACCTGTTATCACAATAATGTAGACATATTTGATTAAGGATTGCATTTATGTCGAGAAATAAGGCTTTCATTTTATAATGAATAATGTATTAAATCATTGTAACTTATACTAATTTTTAAATTAATGGGAAATTATATTTATTGAAAAGTAATAAAACATGTGTCAAACATATAGTAAGGATTCATTTGATAGATTTGGTGATGATTTATGTCAACATATATTGAGTTATCAAACGATTGACCAAAAAGTAAAGACTGAATGTGTGAGCAAACAGTGGCAGAGATTGATATACAGCTCACAAACGGAGTTATTGGTCGACAAATTGGTAAAGTACTACACTATTAAACAAAATGGATTTGAATTCATATTAAATAAATGCAAAAACTTGAGCAAGATCATTTACAAAAGAGGTTGGCCTTATTATAAATTGAAGCAAGATAAGTCTGTGTTTGACTCAATTGTCGAGCACTGCAATCAATTAATCCATATTTGTATAATTGTCGAGAAAAATACAAGTATTGAATCAATTGAGAGATTCTTTGAGAAGTTTGGCAAACAATTGAAAATAATTTGCTTTTATATGGGCTCCGCAAACAACATGATTAGACAGTGTGTTAACAATAATCTAAAGCGTTGTCCAAATTTAACACAAATACAGATCAAAGATGATAACGATGATGATAATTTACTACAAGTATTACAGGACACTGTATTTCAGAAGCTACAGAAAGTTTACATTGAATTCAGCGATAAAGTTGTCAATAGTTTGAACACATTTGTTGAAAACTATAAAAAGTCAATGAAATCACTTGAGATTGAGATCTATACTTGCGATGAGAAGTCCATCGCAAAAGTGATAACAGGTTTGTCACAAATGGAGGCATTAATTGAGCTAAAGATATTATTAGGTTGGATTAGCTCTTTGAAGTCATCTCGAGAACTATTTAATCAAATGAAACAAATTGGTATTAATTGCTGTAAACTCAAGAGTTTCTCAATTAATAGCTCTAATATGAATTCCGATGAATGCTATGAATATGTGATGCAAACAATTAACAACAACTTCACACAAATAAAGCGATTGAGAATCAGTGGTAATCTCTACGGAAAGGCAAAGGAAGAGGATGATAACCACAATATGATTAATGAGACCTTAAGAAGTCATTTATTGGATAAATGCAAACGATTAACACATTTCACGTTTACTGTCAAGTGGTATTTGAATGACTCGTTTTTCGATAACATTGGCCAACATTTACCAAAACTCCAGTACTTGTCGTTTGAAAACTACGATACAAGTGATGAGGTATTGAATGAGTTGTCAAAACTGACACATTTAAGGGCAATTAAAGTAGGGACGGATGACAGGGGTTTCGACAATGAACAAGAATACCTGGGCAAACATTGTCCTAAATTTGTTGATGCCTATTACAAATATTTCTGTACCGATTAATAGAATCAATATTATTTTTATTATAAATCCTTATTATCACATAATAAGCTCAAAGTTTAAATATATTTTTAAAAATTCACTTATTAAGCTGTTTTAAATGACAATTTATTATGATTTTAAACTAGAGTCATTCAATTAATTCAATCACAATCATTTATTGTCTATAAACACTACTTTTCAACAGTAGTATTTATTTTTTATTTTTTAATCAAAGGTCTACCATCAAAATAATCTATTTTTTGTACAATTACAAATATTTCAAATTATTATTCAGATATTGTGATGATATTATCAATATTATTTAATTAAATTATTTTATATCCGGGTATTCTTGAAGTATACGATTCTTGAGCACACGATAGCAGTTAAAACTAATTTCCGCTTTTGACTGTAAAACATGAAAATAATCATTAATATAATAATTATTATATTTAATATTTCATCAAGATTTTAGAGAATGAACATTTTATTTTTTATGAGCACACGATAGCAGTTAAAACTAATTTCCGCTTTTGACTGTAAAACATGAAAATAATCATTAATATAATAATTATTATATTTAATATTTCATCAAGATTTTAGAGAATGAACATTTTATTTTTTTAACTAATGATAAGTTATAATATACATTAATAATAATCTAATACACTAAACTGACTGTACACTACATGAAATCTGCACTAATTGTAAGTACTAAATGAAATAATGTCATGTTAAATGTCTACTGAACTATATCACCAAAATATTTTGTAAAATCTTTGATTAGAGTTTGAATTATTTGAAAGTTTCAAATGTTAGCTCAAATTATGACTTACCATTAAATCCGTTGCACCAGAGGTTGATGTTTGATAAATACAATACATACAGTCCTTAATATAAGCCAAAAGTGCAAACATTTTCGCCTCTTTGATAATCCTTTCGCGTGAATTGATCTCAAGTTTCGCATAAGAATTGCCATTAATTTCAATCATTTCGCGAATATATGCGTCAATAAAGACAGCCATTTGCGGGTCAGTCGGGAAATCTCCGGATCCAAAGTCGGTCTCCATTTTACCCCATGTGCTGAAGTATTGGCCAAAGTCTGAGCCCCTGTAGCCATAGCTCGTCCAATCAAAGTCGATGAGAAAGATCTCCAGTTCCTTATTATTGTTAACATTTGAATCGCGGACTAAAGTGTTTCGGCGATTAAAGTCGTTGTGAACAACGATAACGGGGCTGTTGAGCACCGGTAGTGTGTTCGCGATCCACTCATTCTCGTCGATAAAATTCAAGTCTTTAAATGTCTGCAAATTATATTCTTGGATCTGCTTGAATACCGGCCCCTCTGTGACCGACTTTTTCAAATCGTCGTTGAAAAGCACTTTAAACAAATCGATCATACCTTTGGCCACTTTGGGCACCGGCATGTCTAGCGAGTGAATAGTAGCCAACTTGTGTGCTAACAGTGCCATTGTTTTGGGGTTTACATCATCGGTAGCATTAAGGTATCTGGCCTGGATTACAAACAGTAAATTATATTTTTAATGCGACCAATTATTTATGTTAATCGCAAACCTCAATGAATTCACTGATAGTTCCCGTGGGATATACACCTAAAAGTTTGGGACTAATATTGATTTGCGACATAATGGCGCTGATTGTGATCACATCTGATTGTGTGTAAAACACTTTAAACGCTTCGTAGTCCACATCCCTGACCACTACTTTGTTATATTTGGTGTCCATGTGATCGGGCAGACAGCAGAGGATTAATTTATTTACAAACCCATCGCTAAAGTAAAAATTATTTTGAATTTCTTATAAAGAAATTAATTTATAGTTACAAACCTGAGTGGCTTTATAACCATATCATTGGCCGTGATTTCAGTCCATTTTCCGCTTAAATAAGTTTTGCACAATTCATACAACCGTTGCCTCTCTTCCACCGGAAATGTATTTTCCATTTTTCCAAATATTTATCAAAATATGATATTTTATAAACTTTTTTAAATTTTCAATTTCAAATGCAAATATTTTCGTTGAGCACAAACATGTGAGCATTTATTAAATGCGTAAAACTATTTATAAGAAACTCGTGAACAAGTACATATTAATTGTTTTACACTTTTGATAAATAAAAAGTACTAAAACTTGAATATCTGATGAAAACTTAATTGTATTTTAGTGTTGATAATCAAAGTACTGATATTTTAATGTCATTTTCATTATATAATTATTACCCTTTTTAATATTATATAATCACTGCAATGGTCAGTAAATATTAATATTTGTTTAATCAAAATATATTTATATTTAATTTACAAAATAAATGCTAAATTCTACAGGTTACATTTATAGTTATATAACTTTCTTAAGACCAAGGTCATTTTAAACAGGTTTAACTGCTTCACTTATCAAGAGGACGTTTGCACTAAAAATATAAATCTCAGAAATATTCTATGATTTTAGGACATTCCTTACGATTGTACTGGTACACTTTAGGTTTAGTTTTATTATATTTATGACCACTTTATTGTTTAGAGAATTAATATTAATTAAAAGTGAAACCTTGATAAAAATCCATAAACACATATTATATACTAAACACATATTATATACTAAACACATAATATTATACCAAAATACTTACTACTTTAGGTTGTTTGCACTCATATTGTATCAATATATTAAATTTGCAGAATTTGCATAAAATTTCGTGTAGTTTACAAATGTTTAGATAACAAAATTAAAATATTGTTTGAATTTAGTTCTGAAATTTATTTAACATTGTTCAAATTAAGAATCAATACAAATATTTTATTATTAGTACAGTATTTATCAATAAAAAGATTGCATAGTAAAATATTTATTGTAAATCCGGATATTCATGAAGTATACGTTTCTTGAGCACCCGGTAGCAATTAAATCGGACTTCCGCTTTGGGCTGTAAAAGACAAAAGCAATTAATAAATATTTATACTAATCAAGATCATTTGATACCTATTCCACAAATTAGGTAACTATGATATAGTTTTGTGTTAATACATAAAACTATTTCTATTATAAGGACTAGAGTATAAATAAAATAGGATCAATCATTTATTATTTTGTTTACCATTAAGTCGGTGACCCCGATGAGTGTTGTTTGCCAAATACAGTACATAATATCCTTCATGAAAGCCATTAATGCAAACAATTTCGCTTCTTTTGTAATCCTTTCGCGTGAATTGATTTCATGTTTTGCATATGAATTGCCATTAATTTCAATCATTTCCTCGATATATGCGTCAATAAAGAGAGCCATTTGCGGGTCAGTCGGGAAATCTCCGGACCCGAAGTCAGTCTCCTTTTGACCCCAACTGCAAAAGTATTGCCCAAAGTCTGCGCCCCTATAGCTATAGTTAGTCCAATCAAAGTCGATGAGAAAGATCTCCATTTCCTTATTATTGTTAACATTTGAATCGCGGACTAAAGTGTTTCTACGGTTGAAGTCATTGTGCGAAAAGACTACCGGACTCTTGAGCTCCTGTACTGTATTTGCGAGCCATGACAACTCATCCGTGAGAGTCAAGTCTTTGAAAGTCTGTAAATTGTATTCATGGATCTGTTTGAATACCGTTCCCTCACTGGCAGACGTTTTTAGCTCTTCGGTGAAAAAGTCTTTAAACAGTTCAGTCATATTCTTAGTAGTCTTAGGGATAGGCATATCAAGTGAGTGAAACTTTGCCAGTTTTCGGGCTAACAGTCCCACGGTTTTGGGGTTTACATCATCGGTAGCGTTGAAATAGCGGCACTGGGTTTACATATAATTAAAATAATTGTAAATATTTTTGTAAATATTAGTACCGATATAATAAACACAAACCTCAATGAATTCATTGATAGTTCCGTTTGGAAATACAGCTAATAGTTTGGGACTTATATTGATTTGCGACAAAATCACACTCATCGCGATCACATGTGTTTGATTGTAAAAATCCTTAAACTGCTCGTAGTCCACATCCCTGACCACTACTTTGTTGTATTTAGTATCCATGTGGTCGGGTAGACCGCAATAGTATAATTTATTCACAAATCCATCGCTAATGAAAATAATTATTTATTAAAAATTGATTTATACAAATAATAATTTTTATGTCAATACATACGTAACGGGTTTTATAATCAACTCATTTGCCGTAACTTCAGTCCATTTGCCGCTTAAATAAGTTTTGCACAATTCATACAACCGTTGCCTCTCTTCCACAGGAATTGTATTTTCCATTTTTGTTTACTTTTTTTTAATAAATAAATTACTAATTCATTTAGCAAGAACCGTATATGGTAAACAATAATATGCTGTCTTTCAAATATTGTCGTATAAACCGTTCATTGAGTGTTCAAAACTATTTATAAGTAATCATATGATAAATAAATATGCTTATCAAAGTTGCTTAAGACATTTGCTATCTTAATTTATCATAAACTGTGCCTTAATGTATTTAAAGTGCAAAATATCCACAATGTACCCGAGTCTATTTAGTTTCATTTGAAGTCTCTTTTGTTAATTATAAGTTTAGGGATATACAGTATATTTAGAACTTGATTTATTGCATAGTGACATCATATATAATAATATTCAATTTAATTTGCTAATAATCAGTTAACATTCAATCGCAAAATACAATAATTATGCTCAGAAAATATCAAGGCTAGTTTAGCATAAATAACAGGTTTAACTGTATGTTTGTTCAACTCAAAGTACTTTTAAAGTGCATTTTTGATTGCAAATGTATAAAAGTTGCACTGATCACAAATCGTTAGTTCATTTTAATAAAATATCTGTTTGATAATAATATATCCCTACACAATATATGAGTGCATTTTATAAATAATAAAACCTGACCATTTAGTATAATTAAATGTAATTACCAAAAGCACATTTCTACGTAAAAGTAATAATGATTATTTAAAACCTTGAATTCAATAACATTTAGATTTTCGTAGTATTTAATAAATGTTATTTTAGTAAACATTTAATG